AGTCTGGAATTAAAGTTTAAATTTCCTTTGCTAAAACAGATTTATTGTTAAATTAAAATCTTAGAGAATTTCTTTTTAAACTAGAATCTCAGAATAGCTTTGGGTACCTGCTTCTCTTGTTGTACTTGAACTTCAACATGTACTATCCGAGTTGTTTACTCTTATACCAGTCATTAATCCTAGTAATATCTGTCTATATTTAACCTGTTTTTCCTTTTTCTCAATGATATAACAAAAGAACCAAAATATGACATTGTGTGTACCCCGCTTGAATTTAAAAATTGTTTTGAAAGGGTTTGAGGCAAGAACACTAATGAATGTAGACCAGATGAGTTGTGGGACTATAGCATGGATATCATCCATGAAAAAAAGCAAAATGTCATAATAAAAACACCAGAAGAAAAAAAGACCAAAATGGACGTCAGAAGAGACTTTGAACATTGCACTAGAACTCTGAGAAGCAAAAACTAAGGGATGAAATGATGACATTTAAGAATTGAACAGAAGATTTCAAAGGGCACCTTGTGAAGAAAAAGCATATTTTTTTTCCTGAATGTGCAAAGAGCGGGAGTCCAAAAAAACAAAACAAAACACAAAAACACCTCATTCAGAATTTCTCAGGCTGAAGGAACTGAAGAATAAATTCAAGCCTGGAAAGGCAACACTGTAAGATGCTATGGGCAAAATCTTGAATGATACAGGAAACAGTAAAAGAAGATGGACGAAAAACACAGTCACTGAAGCAAAAATAATTGGTTGAAAAAGAACCATTTGAAGAAGTAGCACTTGTTTCAGTTTTCTGCAGGTAACAATCCAGTTATGCCAGTACAACTTGGAAGAGGTTATCATTTCCCCATTTGATGGGTTTTATTTCCTTGTCAAACATCATTTGACAAAAGGGTCCATTTTTGGGTTTTCAATTCTGTTCTGTTGGTCTATATGCCTGTTATTGTAGTGCCATGCTATTTTGGTTACCACCACTGTAGTAGATTTTGAGGTCAGAGAATGCTAAACCTCTCACTTCATGTTTGTTTTTCAGAGGTGCTTTGCTTCCTCTGGGTCTCTTTTCTCTCCAAATAAACTTGACAATTTCCCTTTTGATCTCCTTGAAAAACAAATTTGGTATCTGTATTGGTATTGCATTGAACATGTAGATTGCTTTTGGTAGGATAGTCATTTTCACGATACTAAGTCTTCCTATCCATGAACAGGGCACATTTTCCCATTTATTTAGGTCTTTCAGAAAGGTTCAGTCATTCTCAGGTGTCTCAATCAGTGGTTGGCTGTTTTAAATGGTATTGCTTTCTTAGTTTCCTTCTCTGAGTTGTCTTTGTTACTGTAGAGGATTCCCACTAATTTTTGGATTTTTATCTCATATTCTATCACTCTACTAAATTGGTCTATTAGCTCTAACAGTTCTTTTTGTTGATTACTTGAGACTTTTTTGCATATACTATCATATCATCTGCATATTGTTGCTGTTGTTATGTGCCATCGAGTCGCTTGTGACTCATACGACCCTATGTACAAGAGCTCTAAACTCTGTTCTATCCTGTGCCAATCTAGCCATCTCAAACACACTTATTATTCCCACTGCTCCAGTCACAGAATTGACCCATCTCATCGAAGGTCTTCCTCTTCTTCACTGCCCCTCCACTCTACCAAATATGATGCCCCTCTCCAAGGACCAGTCCCTCCTTGCAACATGCCCAAAGTATGTAAGATGAAGCTTCAGAATCCTTGTCTCCAAGGAGCATCCCGGCTTCACCTTCTCCAGGACAAACCTGTTTGTTCTCCTAGCAGTCCATGGTATATTCAACATTCTTCTCAAGCACCACAGCTCAAAGGCATCAATTCTCTTTCTATAAACCCTATTCACTGTCCAGCTCTCTTATGCATAGCACGTAATTGCGAAGAGTATAGCCCGGATCAGGCGCACCTTAGTCTCCAGCCTGACGCCATTGCTCTTCAGTACTCTTGAGAGGTCCCTCATAGCCGACTTTCCCAATGCAATTCGTCTCCTGATTTCCTGGCTGCTGTTACCAAGAATGCTGACTGTGGAGCCAAGTAAATAAAAACTGTTAACTATCTCAATCTCTTCACCATCCATGCTGATGCTGCCAATTGGCCCAGTGGCTAGAATCTTTGTTTTCTTGATGTTGAGCTTCAGTCCATATAGGAGGCTGCAGTCGTTGATCTTCTGCAGCAAGCGCTTCAGGTCCTCCTCAGTTTCAGCAAGCAGGGTTGTGTCATCTGCACATGTACGTTGTTGATGACTCTTCCACCAATCCCGATGCCACATTCCTCTTCGTACAGCCCAGCATCTTGGATGATCTGTTCTGCATACAGATGAAACAGGTATGGAGACAGAATACATCCCTGATGGACCCCCTTCTTGATTTTGAACCATGTAATGTCTCTTTGCTCTGTTCTCACAACTGCCTCTTGGTCCAAGTACAGGTTTTGCATTAGCACAATCAAATGTTTTGGGATTCCCATTCTTACCAGAGTCAGCCACAGCTTCTTGTGATTCTGGTATTCTTTACTTTTTGCCAAGACCCATCTAACATTAGCTACAATATCCCTAGTACCACAACCTCTCCTAAATCCAGCCTATACATCTGGCTGTTCTTTGTTGACATATTGCTCCACACATTTTTGGATAATTTTCAGGAGAATCTTGCTTGCATGTGATATCAATGGTATTGTTCGATAATTTCCACACTGTGTTGAGTAACCTTTCTTTGGAATGGGAACAAATATTGATCTTTTCTAGTCAGTGGGCCAGCTGGCTGTCCTCCAGATTTCTTTGCACAACTTAGTGAGCACATCCAGAGCTGTGTCTGTCTGCTGAAATATGTCAATTGGTATGCCGGCAACTCCTGGAGCCTTGTTTTTGCCAATTCCTTCAGAGCAACTTGAACTTCCTCCTTCATCACTATAGGCTCTTGCTCATATGTCATTTCATGAAATTCTTCTGTGTCAGCCAATTCCTTCTGATACAGTTACTCTGTGTACTCCTTCCATCATCTCTTGGTACTTCCTGGATCATTTCCCAAAGTATCATCCTTAAGTATTGATTGCTACCCGTGGCTTGAAATTGTTTTTCGAATCCTTCAGCTTAAGATACGCTGAGCGAGTTCGGCCCTTTTTATTTTCTGACTCCCGTTCTGAGCACATTTCATTATAGTATCTTGCTTTGTCATCCCGGTCTGCCTTTTGAAATTTTCTGTTTAGCTCTTTGATTTCTTGGTTTCTTGCTTTAGCTTTGGCTTCTCGGTGCTCTAATGCAATATTCAGAGTCTCATCTGACATTTATCTTGGTATTTTCTTCTTTTTCAGCCTTTGTAATGATCTTTTTCTTTCTTCATGGAAAATTTTCTTGATATCCTCCCAGAGCTCATTTGGCCTGTGTTCAATCTGCATATAGCAACACTTTAACCATCTCTTTGCTGGTCTGGATGCCTTTTATTTCCTTCTCTTTTTGTATTGCAATATTGAACAGAAGTTGTGAGAGTGAACATTATTTTCTGGTCCCTGTTAAAAAGGGAAATACTTTTAGTCTTTCTCCATTGAGAATGATATTTGCACTTGGTTTTGTATATATACTTTTCATCATGTTGTGGAATTCCCTGCTATTCCAGTTTTGCTGATTGTTTTTATCAGGAAGGGGT